CCGGCCTTTCACTCCCCTTCAGGAGTCTCAAAGCGGCTAACATTCTCCTTTCCCTTCCTCCCCCATAACAAACACTCTGTGAGGTGAGTGGGGCTGAGAGACTTCAAAGAAGTGTGACTGGCCCAAGGTCACCCAGCAGCTGCATGTGGAGGAGCGGAGACGCGAACCCGGTTCCCCAGATTATGAGACTACCGCTCTTCACCACTACACCACACTGGCTTAAACTTCAGAGACTCTAATCCTGGAGGGGCCCCAGAAGCAAATTTAGTTCACATTGCTTAAAAAGAGTGGTCTGGTAGACCCAATTTGAGTCATACAATTTTTTGTTTTGTTTTCAACCATCCCAAAGTTGGAGAGTCAGTAGCACAGATGCTGTAAAGGTTGTTGTAAACATCCCCACTGAAGAAGATAACAGTGGTTACCCAGACCTCGTTGCTGCTTGCAAAGTGGCCCCCATAACAGTTTGAACTTCAGAGCCCCCAAAATGTAGGTCCACCACTCACTCAGAAGGCTTCCTTTCTGCAGACATATCACCAATGCATGGACAGTGTGAGGATGGAGTTAGTATGGGATGCAATGAATGAGGGAGAGCCAGCGAGGGTTTCTCAACACAATTGCATGGACAGAAGAGCACTCAAAGTCAGCTTTAGCTAGGCTGCAGTCCTATACTTGCTTACCAGGGAGTAAGCTCTACTGAACTTGGTGGGACTTACATCTGGGTAGATGTGTGTAGGATTGCACAGTCGATTAACCGGTCACCGTAGTGATTTGTGTGGTGCTGAGGATCTTATTTGTTTGCTCCTAATCCAAAAGAGTGTAAGGACTTCAGGAATGGCAGAGTCTTTTTTTTAAAAAAAAGCATTTAAATAAGTGTAAGCATATATACAAAGTTGTTGCAGAAGCCCAGGTTGAACTTCAAAGGAGAAAAATCATGGGGTCGCTGATCTGACTTTCATGACAATGAATGTTGATCCTGATGTGCTTGTGGGGTGTTTACACATCTTTCTGTTACTCATTCGTTCACCCCACACTTTTGAATGAAATTCCCCATCGTTTTCCAAACCACAAAATGTCTGCTTTTTTTTTAATATAAAAAAAGTAGATTAGTTGCGCTAGGATGACAGAGCTCTTAGGCCTCTTTAATTGTGCAAGCCTAAAATTCTGGTGTGTGCTCAAATTGTTCCCTCAAATTAATGGCAGTCCGGAGGCAATAATCCCTAGAAATCGCACACTGCACTTTTTGGGTGATAGAAGACAGTGTTAAAGCATCATGGTAAGGTGATCTGTTAGAGCTCTGGGAACAAAGAACATGTCAGGCAGGCAGGACATATTCTTCTCGCACTCTTAAAAATTATGCTTGTTTCTTGCTGTGTTAAGCTCCACAAGATGCAATTTGGTCATTTATAAACTATGTCCTGTAAGGCCTAAATTAAACCCCATGTTGAACAAATGACTGCCATACTCTTATGTCGAAATCTGCCGTGAGGGGCTGAAAAATGCTCTTTTCATGGCACGGAGTACAAATATTCACCGATGATTATCCTTCTTTTGCAGTGAAAAGATGATTGCCTCCCTAATTTTTTTGTCATCAGATAACAATGCATTTATGTTGCGTATTTTCTGTCTCTAGGCTAATGCATCTCCTTTTGACGTCACTATCAATAACCCTGCATCCCTGAGTTCATCTTTCCTATTTAAAAAGATAATGGAAAAAGGCACAAAGAAGAAGACTGACTGAAAATAATTCAGACGTTGCTGTTAAGATTGTGAGAAGAGCCCAATGGTCCATCTAGTCCAGAGTCCTGTTTCTTACTAGTTTGGATTAGGCAAGAGGGATGCCAGTTCAGGTGATGGAGAGAGAGTTTAAGAACATGCAGTCGCCCCTTCGAACAGCTCAGTTCTCGAATGTTTTGGCTCCCAACACCGCAAACTGTGACCGATCCAGTTTGCGAACTATTTTTGGAAGCCGAATGTCTGACGGGGCTCCCCTGGCTTCTGGTTGGCTGCAGGAGCTTAATGTATCCAATCAGAATCTGCGCTTTGGTTTCTGAATGTTTTGGAAGACGAACGGACTTCTGGAACGGATTCTGTTCGACTTGCAAGGTATGACTGTACAAAGGACATACAAATGAATCAGGCCAATGGCCCATCTAGTTCTACATTCTGTTCTTACAACGGCCATCAAGGTGCCCACTGGATGCCTGCAACAACATTCTCCTCTCTTACAACTAGAGCGTTGCTGCCTCCATCTGTGGAGGGAGACCATAGCCATTGTGGCTAGTAGCCAGTGCTATTTTTATAGAAAATGAGGTGCTGGAACTCACCATGGACACCTCCCTTCTAGTGGCAATGGTGCCCATCTGAGAGGTGCTGGAACTGAGTTCCAGAGAGTTCCAGGTGAAGAAGAAAGCCTTATTCTCCATGAATTTGTCTAATCCTCTTTTAAAACCACCCAGTATTATACCACTTTGAACAGTCGTGGCTTCCCCTAAAGCATCACAAGAACTGCAGCTTTTTAAGGGTCCTGAGAGTGACTGAGAGAGCTACGATTCTCAGAGTGGTTTAGAAATGGAATCAATCCTTCTCCCCAGAGAACTATTCACCACAATGTGAATTTTGGAACTCTATGTTCAGAAGAGTGTGTCTCTGAAAACCAGTAGCTGAGGAGCAAAAGAGGGAGACAGGTTCTGCCTTCAAGCCTTGCCAATGGATTTCTCAGAGACGTGGAGTTGGCAGTTGTGTAGATTTGGGGCTAGATAGACATTTGGGTGAGATAGACATCTTATCTTCCTTCCTTTCTGGATCTCTGGATTTCTGAGTTGCCCGTATATCTCTGAGCCCAATTCAAGGTATTTGTGTTGACAAAAAAAGCCCTAAATGATTGGTTTCCCTATACTTTAAGAACTGTTTGACCCATTGCATGTCTGCCTGATCAAAGAGGTCTTCGGGAGAATCACTGCTATAGGCCCCCCAATGGCTTGGATTGGCACATTTTTTAACAGGCCTACAAATGACCATATTTCTGTGTATGGATCAAGTCAGATCAAAGACATTGTGCACTGTCTGTCTGTCTATATCATCTATCTATATCATCTATATCATCTATCTATCTATCTATCTATTTATCTATCTATCTATCATCTATCTATCTATCACAGGGGTCAGCGAACTTTTTCAGCAGGGGGCCGGGCAACTGTCCCTCAGACCTTGTGGGAGGGCAGTCTATATTTTGGGGGGGGAAATGAACAAATTCCTATGCCCCACAAATAACCCAGAGATGCATTTTAAATAAAAGGACACATTCTACTGATGTAAAAACACGCTGATTTCCAGACCATCCACGGGCCGGATTGAGAAGGCGATTGGGCTGGATCTGGCCCCTGGGCCTTAGTTTGCCTATCCATGATCGATCTATCTATCTATCTATCTATCTATCTATCTATCTATCCTGTATTGCCTTTATAAAACTCTCCCATGGGTAAATACTTCTATTCATTCAGAATTTCCTTTTAGGCCAATCAGATGGTTTCAAAATTAGATTGTTATTAGGCTGTGCGACAAAATAAAGTGGTGTTGTGTAGTGGTTAGAGTGTGAGACTAGGACTTTGGAGACCAGGATGAATGAAGGAGAACCATCTTGAGCTCTTCAGAGAAAAGACAGGATATAAATGCAATAATAAATTACCATGTGGATATGGTACTTTTTGTAGTGGTCCAAAATAAAACATAATCAAACATAAGGAAGAAAGCGTAGAATTTCTGTGAGAGAGTTTTTAATAATATTTACTCAGGAGAACAATGTCAAAGTTGAAGTGAATTTGTTTCTTTGCTTAAAGAGAATGAAGATCCCTTTGCCCCGCCTCCCCCAAGAGGAGGAAAAAACATAAATGGCAAACATTACAGAGGAAAGGTTAATAAATTGAACAAAACATTGAACATCCATGACAAAAAAAGCAGCATGCCAATCAAGTTCTGGTTAAAAAACGAAACCCAAAGCAGAATAAAGGCTTACAAAGTTAACAAACCGACCAGTCCTTTGGAGAAATAGCAGAATATTTTTATTTAATTTAGTTTTCTGCACACAGTTGGCTATGAAGAAAATGTTGCTTTACAAGTCTTGAGAAATTCTGGGAGGATGAAGGCATGAACAGATTCTGAGATTGCTCTGCCATAGTCCAACACAGAGTTATGGCACTTATGGAAGAATCGGTATGTCTGAGCCACACGCCCCGATCTATAGATCCATGGCTGCTCATGTGCACCTGGATATCTTGTGAACATGCAACCTGGTGTGCATGCGCTGCGCATACCTCAGCTACATCGGGAATCATGCGCACAATTGGGCGCTGCATGCGGAAATTTCCATCCTGATCTAGAAGCCGGGGCTGCCCGGCCCACAGCTCTGTAAAATATGCTGCAAATGCAACAACCAAAGGTTCAAGGTCAGGAAGAGAATTGTGCATGGAGGAATTGGACTGAGATCATGTATTTCCTATTTAAAATATAAGTACCCTACCTTTTTTCTCCGAAGAGACTCAAACAATAATAAAACAATTTTGTGATTTTAGGTTGTAACTGCCCTGAGACCTGCAGGTATAGGGTGGTGCACAAATTTATTTATTTATTTAACAAACAGAACAAAGCAAACATCATCCTTAAGCAACATGATAATTCACTCACATCCTAAAGTGAAGAATATCTTTAATCAATTTGTCTTTGATTGTCTATGCAGTAGAGGTGAGGATGTTGCCTTGTGTAAATTCCATCTTGGGGCTGATCTGCACCCATCGTTTATAACATTATAAAAACGTGTTATTAAAATGGGACACCAGGGGGCGCTGCAGAGCAGCAAGCCACCGGCAATGGGAAACTGCATCAAACATTTTTAACGTTTTCAAATATAATGTTCTATGAGATCAATGTAGATCCGGCCACAGTCAGCACTGTTTACACTGACTGGCAGAAGCTCTCTGGGATTGCAGACATTTCCCAGCCTTACCTGGAGACACCAGGGACTGAACCTGGGACCTTCAGCACTGAAGGCAAATACTCTACTGCTGAGCTAGGGACTCAAAAGAAGCAAGTAACTCTTCATTGCCTGACCTTGCAAGTTTGAATTTCCATTTCTTCTTTAACCAGGTTAACATTCCAGCTCTCCTTCCTCACCCAACAGCAGACTGGCCCAGTTGCAGCTGATTTGACCAGCTTATACTACCACTAGCCCCAACCAATGATCAAGCTAATGCTCAAGGATTATGAGAGATATACTTCAACCACATCTAGAGGACAGCATAGTGGATACCCCAGTGGATACCCTACAGCCCCAGCCACTTTGCACGCACTGTTGGATCCGGGCCCCTCTCTTCTGCATTCATTTCAAAGCAGGGGGGCCTTCTCGGTGGTTGCTCCCAGGCTTTGAAACTCCCTCCCCAGAGAAACTGGACTGGCTCCTTCCTTCCTGTCCTACTTCCATTGGCCGGGGGAGACTTTCCTGTTCCAACAGGCTTTGGGAATCAACTGCTTTTAATGAAAGGGCTGGTGACATGATGTTTGTACTGGAATTATTTAAAACAGGTTTTATATATGTATATAGCTTTAATTCTGCCAGTGTTTAATTGTATTTTAATGATTGATTGTCATATTTTTTAGCGGTTCTTGTTTTTATCTGTAAGTTGCCTTAAGTCCCAGCAGGGAAAAAGGATGGGGTGAATATAATAATAATAATAATAATAATAATAATAATAATAATGATAATGCAGTTGTACCTCGCAAGTCGAACAGAATCCATTCTGGAAGTCCGTCCGACTTCTGAAACATTCGAAAACCAAGGCGTGTCTTCTGATTGGCTGCAGGAAGCTCCTGCAGCCAATCAAAAGCCGCAGAAGCCCCATTGGATGTTCGGCTTCCAAAAGAACGTTCGAAAACCGGAACAGTCTCTTTTGGTTTTTGATTGTTCGGGAGCCGAGACGTACAACTCCCAAGGCACTTGGGAGCCGATGTACGACACATACTGTGCCTTTTATTTTTAGGGGGAAAGGTACCACTACTCACCATGCCACAATTTAAACATTTGGTCGGGAAAGGTGCTGGTATTGTGTACCCCCAGAAAAAAGCACTAATCCTCCTCCTCATCTGTCCACAGAGAGAAATGAGCATGTCAACCAGCTCCCTCCATTTAAATGAAGAAGGAAGCCAGTCTTTCAGAGCCCCCTGCGTTCATCAGGATGCATGCGTGTTGCAGAATCAGGCATATATATCACAAACACACACACACACACACACACACACACACACACACATACACACCTTGGAATCACTTACAAATGGTATTTACTAGTATAGAAGACATTGTGGTAGAAAGAAGGACAGAGTAGGCGCATTGCGTCGCAACGAGAGTGCCAGGTCTGTCAATGTTATACAGCAGTGAGGGCTATTAGATGTGCCGTCGGGGCACTTTTTCTGTTCAAAGGCTCGCTGCCTGGCAGCTGCCTCCAGCAGCACTGAACAATCCAACTTTGAAGTGCTGGTAGCTGAACACGCACGCCTCTAGAGTTTATAGTTGCTAACTGTACAAAACATTCCCAAAGTGTGAAAAGTCCACTTTCAGTCTGGCACTGCAGTTGACATTCCATGCTATTGGGAGCAGAGGGGTAGAGAGAGAGAGGGAGGGAACGGCAGATGACGGGGCGATTAACCCCATTTAAAATAGGTAAATGTCTCATGCTGGGCTTCTGTTCTCCACCTGCACACACTTCCCATTTAACTGCGGTTCCAAGGCAAGCAGAATGGCCCTTAATTTCAGATGGCACCTTAATTTCAGATGTGGTGCATGCAGCACTGAAATCTAGTTCTTACTACATCTGCACTAAACCTGCATCGAAGGCTGTGGTCTAAACCACTGAGCCTCTTGGGCTTGCCAATCAGAAGGTTGGCGGTTCAAATCCCCACGACGGGGTGAGCTCCCGTTGCTCTGTCCCAGCTCCTGCCAACCTAGCAGTTTGAAAGCACACCAGCGCAAGTAGATAAATAGGTGGCGGGAAGGTAAACGGCGTTTTCATGCTCTCTGGCACTCGTCATGGTGTCCTGTTGTGCCAGAAGTGGTTAGTCATCCTGACCACATGACCTGGGAAGCTGTCTGCAGACAAATGCCAGCTCCCTTGGCCTGAAAGCGAGATGAGTGCCGCAACCCCATAGTCACCTTTGACTGGACTTAACCATCCAGGGGTCCTTTACCTTTACCTAGCAGCTCAGACTGCTGGTAGGGGCTTGTATGATCCAATTCTCCTTCACCTAAAAAGAAATCTCAGCGCGTAGAAAACAGGGAGAAAGGTTCCTAAGCTACTCTTCTACCTGAAATATAGTTTCCTATGTCCCGGGATTTGTTTGTGTCCAGTGCTATGAGTCCCCCACTACAGTTTAAAGTAGTACAACCCAGGTAGAGATTTAGCACTCCAGCAACAAGTAGGTCTGAATACTTGAGTGCATCAGGATGGTTAAGCAACAGAAAACTTATGTTTTTACCAAAGCAATATTTTGCAAAATTTTGTTCTGGGACACCCTTGGAATACCTTGCAAGGGGTTCCCCAATGAGAAGAAGAGAGACATACAAAAAGCAGCAATGGACAACCTTCAATGAACAACAGTTTGCTAACATACTATCCATCTTCCACAAAATGTGCAGATTTGTGGACATTAGATATACATGGTAAGATTCATTTACAGCTCCTATGGGACGGCGGTGAGACCTTGTTTGAACTACAGAATGTCCAAGTAAGAGAGAAGGAGGGAAATATTGTGGAGGGAACAGTTTTAATGCCTCCGTTAAATCAGTTAGTGAGTCTGGGACTAGGGTAGAGATGTAAAATTTCTGGAAATTTTGAAGCCATGAGGGAAAAAAAATTTCCCCCCTGTTTCCCCCTGGAGAAAATAGAAATTTTGGAAAAATTGAAAAAAGTTCAGTGTGGAGTAGTTTTACAAATTGCGTGAAATGCGGTGTGTATAAAAGTATTATGCTTGCAGCAAAACAGGTAGCCACTCTGCTTTCCCTCAAAAACAACAAAAAAGCCCTAACAAAAATGTTTTGAGAAGTTGCCGGAAAGAGTACAGTGAGAGCACCTGCCAGGTGTCAGATGGCAGGGAGCTCCAAAGTCTGGGTGCTGGAAGGCCTGGAAAAAAACGGAAAAAGGGGGGGCGGACAGGTCCCCCCCCGTTTTTCCCCAAAGCTGTTTTTTTCAGGAAAAATGGGGGGGGGAGTTTGTGGAATATTCAAACTATATCAAACTATTTTTTCCCAGTTTTTCCAGAAAAAAACAGCTTTGGGGGAAAAACAGGGGGAAACCTGGTCCCCCCCCCATTTTCCCCAGGTTTTTCCCAGGCCTACCCATCTCTAGACTAGGGTAGATGGTGGATGGAGCTATTGGGTTAGGAACAGGCCTTCCACATGAGAACTCGTATTTTTTAAAGCTTCTTTGTAAAAAAACATACCACAAGAAACACTGTACTCGGGTTACAGACACTTCAGGTTACATACGCTTCAGGTTACAGATTCCGCTAACTCAGAAATAGTACCTCGGGTTAAGAACTTTGCTTCAGGATGAGAACAGAAATCGTGCTCCGGCAGCAGCGGCAGCAGCAGCAGGCCCCATTAGCTGAAGTGGTGCTTCAGGTTAAGAACAGTTTCAGTTTAAGAACGGACCTCTGGAACGAATTAAGTTCTTAACACGAGGTACCACTGTATTCACCAACAAATTAGCTCAATGTTTGTTTCTTCTTCCATTCTCTCACCATGAAGAAAAGCTTTTACATGGCTAATTCTGGTCTGTCTCTGGCGGAAATCACATTTTAAAGGTTTGAATATCCATCTCAAAGCAGGATGTTCATGCTGAGACCACAACATTTCCCCAAAGTGATAGGACACCCTGGAAGACGTCCTAAGATGCTGTGGAACATGCTGGGGTTTCTCAACACAGACATTGACACAGAAAGATCTGGCAACCACTCCCCAAAAGTGGAACGTTAAGACTTATGGTGTACAGCAACATGGCGAATTCTCCTTCGTATTATTGCACAGATGATAATGTGGCAGAATAATATATATGGGGTTATCTAATGATGGTGTTTGCCCAGTCCAGCCTTCCCTACCCTGGTGTTCTTCAGATATGTTGGACCACAACTCCCACCTCCCATTACCATTCATCATGTTGGCTTGGACTCGTGGAGCTGTAGAAGTCCAAAACATCTAGAAAGCTCAGGTTGGTCCAAATCGTACAATTCAGCACATATGTATGCAAAAGTGAGAAGAGGTTGCTCATTGCTGAAGAAGGTTGTAGGGCAGGATAGCCAATACAATGCTGCCCTCCAGATGCTGTTGGACTTCAACTCTCATCAGCTCTAGCCAGCATGGCCAATGGTCAAGGATGACAGGAGTTGTAGTCCAGCAGCATTCAGGGGACGTCATGGTGGCTACCCCTAGGTAAAGGGGCCCCTCACCATTAGGTCCAGTTGTGGCCGACTCTGGGATTGCGGCTCTCATCTCGCTTTATTGGCCGAGGGAGCCAGCGTACAGCTTCCAGGTCATGTGGCCAGCATGACAAAGCCATTTCTGGTGAACCAGAGCAGCGCACGGAAATGCTGTTTACCTTCCCACCGGAGTGGTACCTATTTATCTACTTGCACTTCAACGTGTTTTCGAACTGCTAGGTTGGCAGGAGCAGGGACTGAACAACGGGAGCTCACCCCGTCACGGGGATTCGAACCGCCGACCTTCTGATCGGCAAGTCCTAGGCTCTGTGGTTTAACCCACAGCGCCACCCGTGTCCCTTGGCTACCCCTAGTGTGGGACAAAGGGTACTCTTGCTTTTCTTCTTTTCCTTCCCCACTCTTCTTCTTCCTCCTTCTTGAAAAGCATGCTTTGACAAGATATCAGATGGTGAACGACCCAACACCCACAATGGGTCAAATAAAACGCATTCTTTACAGAACGTGTTAATGCGTTCCAGAATAATTCTTGCTACTGCTGGATCAGACTAAAGGCCCTACGTAGTCCAGTATTTTGTTCTCATAGTGGGCTG